AAGGGGTATTATTTGAAATTTTGGAGGATGATCGTAAAATAGCAGAGGGTGAAGTTAGAAACATTGCTTAATAATTAGAAAGGGCATTACATTACTTATATTCAAACAAAATTATTCATAAAGATATGAAACCATAAAACTTATTAATTTCTGTTGATGGAGTAGTTAAATTATAAGATTTTGGTTTTGCCAGAGCTACGTCACCAAACTTTCAAGTTCTTCATTCAATCAAAGGAACTCTTCTTGATATGGCACCAAAATTAATTTAAGAATAGACATAATATCAAATAGTTGATTTATGTTCTTTCGGAGTTATTCTTTCTGAGCTAATTTTTGGTTAACCTCCAATTAACACAAATCAAATATTTTCTCTAATTCAGCTCATTATCAAAGTTCCAGTAAAATAACCAGGATAACATGAGTCCAGAATTAATGAGTTTTTTGAAAGGGCTACTTAATAAGACAACTTCAGATAGGTTTGGTTGGTAAGATTTATTGAGTAATCCCATAATAGCAAAGACTGATTAAAAAAAGGTGTAGAAAGAATGAAAAGATTAAAGTAATCTAAATTTCAACTTAAGTTTTAATGTATAGATTCATCCAATAAATGAAGAAATACTTAATTTACACTGTAAAAATGGTTATTCTTACAAGGTGTACAATTTCAATGAAGCTTTACTACAAAAATTAAATTATTATTAAATTAATTTTTCATAAGTAATTAGCATTTTGAGAACGACATTCAAAATAATCCAATAGTTTCCTTATTAGCAATTTAATTAATAGCTGAATTACTCAATTATTTTACACATTAATAGCCATATAATTACTTTTTGAGTTGATTAACCTAAATAAAAATGTAATAGATCTGAATATATTCAAAAATTAGAAAGTAGTTGTTTTGGCATTCAAAATTATGGTTTTATATGGAATTCTAACATTAATATCCAAATAATTGTTTTGTTATCATAAAGTATAAAAGACATTAATAGATTTATTCTTATTATTAGAAAAGTATGAAATCCATCAACTTTTATATTAAATCTTTTACAAACATAACATGTAGTAATGGTGTTTCTCCAGAAGATTTATTATTTATTAATATTAATGCATGACTCTATATACTCAAACTTTAAAGCGTAAGGTCAATTAATGTTTTAAGATATTACAATTAAAAGTTTATGCTAATTTTTGAAAGAAATTTAATAAAACATATAGAAATGATCTTCCTCGCATATGATGGTGGTTTCGGTTGTATAGATAAATTGCCGAATAAGTTATAAAACTATTTATTTTTGCCTTGTAAGAAAAAATAATCATCATATTTATAAAGAACAGCAAATAAGTAATAAAAGCCCTAACATTAAATTTGATTAAGAATACTTAAAAAGAGCAAATATCTTTAACTGTTTTATTTTATTTCAAAATTAATATGTAATAATTAAGTGGATAAGAAATTTGGATATAATTTTATTTAAATAATGGATTAGCTATTTTTTAAAAGTATGGATTATTAAATGTTGATTCAATCAATATCTTACCACAATTAGACAAAATAAGCATAAATTATTATCCGAGTATTCATAAGATAAATATATATAATGAATAGAAATAATTAATATAATCATCTGATTGTAATTTGAGAGCCAAAGTATGCAATTTAATAGGAAATCTTTGTCAACATTCTTCTTTTTTTTATTAGCATTTATTGAAATTTGAATTAATCAATCTTTACATAAAATGTTGTTGTGACCCTGTAAAAACACAAGAAAATTTGCTTGTTCTTGCATATTTGGAAATGCAAAATTTCATAGTGATATGCAATAAGAGCATTTAAGACCAGTTATCCCATAATTAGTTGAATTATTCAAAAATTTAGAAGTATCAAATGATCTAAACTCTACCAGAAAAAAACAAGATTCAATGCAGCATGAACTTAAGGAAATTTAGTTAAAAATTCAAATAGGCTGATTAAAGACTTTAAAAACATGGAGCTTTAAATTAGTTATTAGAATTAGTGAAATCTGATTAAACAACTCGAATATCTTTATTTTCGATAGGAAACTTAGATCAATATCCTGATGTAAAAGAAAATTTGAAGAATTATTAATCCGATAAATCATAGCACTAGTATATATTTAATTATTTATTTTAGGCTTCTACTAACGATTAATAAATTTAGAGATATGGAAGAAGAATCTTAATAAATTTGATGAAAATTGATACCAAAAAAAACACTAGTATTTTCTGGTTAATAAATTTTTATCAGATTATTGATCTTTTTGATAAATAATTAGCATCATATACATTCTTAAATTTCCTTTCAATTTGTTCGATTTTATTCCCAAATTGTTTACATGATTTCGAATACATCATCTTATAAATCTTTTTATATATGAATTTAAGTTACATAGTTATTCTAATTTAAATAAAATTAATACTTTTAATTGTTTTTGAGGTTTATTAACTTAAATCTTAACCCCTGACGGAACCTTTCCTAAATGGGTTACGTCTTTTGTCTTTAAAATCCAAACCTAAATTTAATTACAACACTACTTACTTTTTTCTTAGTCTTAAAAGACATATAAATAAAATTCTCATATGTGATAACTAACATGAATTTATTTTCTTATTCTTGAACATCAGGTATAATTAAATATGAAGCAATAAATCTGTCATTTTATAGCGCTCCATTTTTTAAAAAGTGAATCATTGCGAAGCCTTCAGCATCAATAGGTTTAAAATCATCTAAATAACCTTCTAATCCATAAACAGGTCTAATGTTTCTTGCTCTATTGTTATTAGGTTTATCATCAAAATATGAGACTGTATTCTAAATACCAGCAGCTGTTTAAGACATTCCATCTAAAACTCCAGTTATTGGTTTTATGATTAATCCAGCTAGTCCTTTAGCAGTTCCAGTAAATACTCCTTTAATACCCTTTTCTCTGGCTCCTTTTATAGGTTTTAAGAAAACTCCAGTAATTCCATCATAAATTCCTGTAGCTATTGATCTAGCTCCTTAACCAAGGCCTTCGCCTAGATGTTTTGGCTTATGTATTTTTTGCCTCTCCCTTTTTCTTAAATAATCTTCATCCAAGGTTAAATTAGCAAGACCACTTCCAAAACTACCTGTTATTTTATTTACTGAACTAAATGCTCCAGCTATAGTGTGTGAAATTAATGATTTAGCTCCTTAGGCTAATCCTAATCCAGTTTCTAAAGGTCCTTAAGTCAAACCAGCTGCTGGCTTATCGACAAAGTCTTTGAATCCTGTAGAAATATTGTTTAATAATCCAATAGGATTTCCAATAATTGAAAGACTTCCAATAACAGATCCTATTTATTTTATTCCTTCCTATTTATAAAATTGCATCATTTTATTCAGAATTCCAGAACCAGTGTCAAAACAATTTTCTATTTTCCAACCTTTAAAGAAGATTGGAGCTTCACTAATGTCAGATAGTACAACCCCTACTGCTTAAGCAATTGAAGCAAAAATAGCTAGATTACCCATATTCAAATCTCCTTTTCCAGACATCTAAACTGTTAAGTTTAATTAGATTGGAGATATAATAATCTCGCAAATGTAAATAGGTAATTGAGCATTAGGTAATTTTTTTTTTATCCATTCTGAGTCAAATTCTACAAATGACTATGAATTATGTTTATTATTGTAATCATTTTCTTTTTCCTCTTCATACTGATTCAATATTTCCATTTATTTTTCTGCAAAATAATTTCCTGCTTAGTTTTTCTCAAATTCTTATATTTTACCTTTAAAGGAAGTGATTGCCCATACGAATTCTAATATATTAACTATAAACAATTGTTCTACTCTAATTTCAAATGGGTCTAATTCAAAAGTAATGTTTTGAAATAATTTAATGTCAGATACTCTGTTATCTAGAATAATCATTACATTAAAGAAATATTTATCACTTTATTGTTATTATTATTATAACTATTTAGGTGCAACATGATATAATGCATATTTTTATGGAGTAATAACAACTGGGAATTAAACAAAAAATTCAGCATTATGATCAAAATTAATGTATTAAACCCTCAATTACAAAACCAAATTTAAAACAGTTGAAATAACCACAAATTCTATATTAGTACATGTGAAATGGAAAAATTCTGAAGGTCTTTTTTTTACATCTGAATTATGTACTAAAGATAAAGAGAATGAAGTTAATTTTAGATTTATTCTGTTTTCTATTTTATCACTATTCTCGATAATAGATTCACTTTATAAAGATTAGGATTTAGCTCCTTATTAATTATCATCTTCAAATTCTAAATTATTTTTTTATTTTAGTTGCTTTAAGAAATCTTATTTAGGTTTAGCTTTAAAAATTTTGATTTATTCTTAATTAGCAGGCATAATTTAAATTTATTTTTAACAACCTTTAGGAAGTATTGATAGTACAATTGGTATATATGCTGCTTTAGATTCTTTATTTGGCTTAAAAATATAAACTTTCATGAGTCCTATATGATCTGGATACAAGACATATTTAAGTGGTTTGTATTCACCTTGAGGATCATCCCTAATTCTAAGTTCAACATTCAATGACTTTTATAATCTTAGTGGATCATCCCATGCAAAATATGTAAATGAATTATTTGAATTCAATATCACTTATAATTCTTAAATTTCTAATTCTAAATTCTAAACTAACATCTCAATTTTATATGGTGCTTAATCTTAATTTAATTAATTGAATATAACATAAAGACTGCATTCTTCTTAACGAATGTCACAGCTGAAATATAATTTTTCTTAAGGGTTATCCTTTTTTCTTAATTAATAATAAACTATGCCAACTGCGTTAATATTTAACCGACTACTTGATTAATAATCATTGTTGCTCACATTCATATTAATAAATTGGCAAGGATTTCTCACTTTTGTTTTAGAATTGTAAAGTATTTGAAATATTATTCTTTAATTAGGAGAAACAGTTTGCAAGAAAGAATCTTCATTTTAAGCAATAACAATATCTTAATTACAATTATTAACAATTATGAATCTTGGTTCCAATGTAATTATTTTATTAAACAATGTATATTTCTTGTTACATAATCCAAGTTCTAACTTAGCACCCAAATACATCTATAAAAGTTAATTTGTATTTTCTTCATTAACAACAATTACATCAATTTCAGGTTCTCCAATGGTTGAAATTTGTATTGGGAATTATGATATTTTTTAGCTTGATGAATTATGACTTAATTATAAGATGTTACCAGTTTCTGTTCCCAAAAGCACAATTTATTAATTTAAAGGATCTCCTCTATTTATAGATTCTACCCCTCCTAATTGAATTAAATTGCTTTTATTATTATTGCTTGTAAAATACTATAACTGAATTCCTGATTTATTGATTATGTAACCAGAACAATGGATTACATATTCTCTAGTTAATTAAGAACTATCTTATTATTTAGATGATTCAAAGATTAATAATGTAGTAGGGTTATTATTGGAATCATTCATAACAATTTTCGATATGCATTCATCATTTGTTTACTATAATTCTTCTGCAGCTTACAATTTAAATTCATCAGACCAATAATACCCTTCTATATATACTCTAAGATAACTGCATTTATAATGACCATGCTAGTAATCTTCTATTGATTATTATCTTTTTAACTTTTTAGTAAATGTTGTTTCTTTATTGTGATTCATCATTTAGATATAGATATCTACTGGTAATGAATTAGTGATCTTGAAGGGTGTTTGAAGTTAAATGTCTAATTTTCCTTAATGATCTTTGTCTTAATTTATCTTAAATATAATAAACTATCCATCTCTTGTTTCTATTTCATTATTTTAATCTAATTATCTTATCAATCTTTAAACAAGGATATCCTCGGTATACTCTTAACATTCGCTAAATCTAAGTGATATTCTTGGATTCATATATCCTAGAGGGATGGGAGCAAAATAATTTAATCCTGAATCTATCTTTTTTGGATTTAATTTCACAGTTTGTTAATGTTTATCATCAGTAATAGATAAAATGATTTGCTTATTAGTTTTATTAGTAATAACTATAGGTGCAAATACATTTACTATTTTTTAGTTTGAAATCTAATCCAATATGACATTTGCATATGCATATAATTAATCTTGCTCATAAAATCTGTTTGAATATCTATCCAAATCTATAAGTTTTATATAAAAAGGTTATTAATCTACTTTTATAGTTACATTTACTCTTCTTTATCCATTGGTAGCCGTTTTTAATTCATCATCAAAAATCAAATTTTATTATTAATTTACATGTATATTAAGAGTAGGTAATCTGGTATTATCAATAAATTCAACAACTATAGGGTAACCGGTTAAATTTCTTATAGCATAAGGAGATACTTAAATTATATTGTCTTCTAAACTAGGTGAATATTCTTCAGTAGCAATTGACTTTTAAAGATTTTAAGCAATTTCGCATGGTTACTTATTAAATATCTTTTCTATTATCTTTTAAGTTCTTAATATTGATTAAATACATATTGTAGAGAGAGTCAAATTACAATTATCAAATTCTTTCATTTATTCAATTGTAACCAAATTACTTATATCTCCTCCTAAGCCTTATAGAGTATCTTAAAATATTGCAACCTAAAATCCAGTTTTTTCTATAATAGGTTCCCACTTTGAGCATAATGGATTAAAATTACTTAATTTAAAAGGTAGTGTAATATTAAATTCTAGAAATAGATTATTTTTGTCTAAAGTAACCCTTAATTCATCTGTCTCATAATCAAATAATGGTGAATAAGAACTACCCATATCATTCAAAACAATAACTTTAATCTTCTCAATTTCTAAATCTAATTTAACTGCACTCAATGACATTTTATTCAAATGAGAAGCATCTAATTAAGAAATTTCATCATTTTTCTTATCTTAATTTATCTCTTATTATTAATTTTAAAGCTAATTAGGCATTTGGCTTAATTAATAATTTAATCCTTCCTTTATCGTAAAAAGATCTTGGAAAGAGACTTTTAAATTAATTGGGCTAATTTTTCCATTTAAGTCTATTGATTCTATAAATTCTTAAAAATTCTGCAATATCACTGAGGATTTACTAAGATTAAGCTCTAACTCAATAGGATTTAATATTTCTCTCTTCTTCACTTATTTAAAATCGTCTTTTTTATTTAAATCATAGCTTTTACATAAAAAGATCTCCAATTTTTATAAATTAGCTTCAATCTTCATAGTTTCATTTAATTTAGACCAATCCGATTTAGGAATATTATTTTGTTTAATTTCCTTTTCAATTTCCTTAACTGATTTTTGAGGAGTCATTTTCATAGTAAAACCAAATTTTCCTCTAACTGTCAGAACATTCTATTCTATTTAGGTTGGTATGCAAGTAATTACATTTCTTAAATTTACTCTAATTTATAAATATCCTTGTTAAGGATTTTAAGGTACTTAAATTTATTCTTATTATTGTAATGCATTTTATTAAATTTATTATTAGAATAAAATGTATTTTCCAGGACTTGGTGTTAAATCAGGATCATCCATTGCAATTAATGCCAATACATCAAAAAGTGGACCAGCATGAATCTATAATTTAAAATCAGATAATTCAATATTGATATCTTTATCTCCTGTAATTTTCATTTCCAAATTAAATATTAATTTATATTAAGGATTATCTTCAATTTGTTGATAGGCATCTTCAAACTTAAATACCAATTATCTTTATTATTATTAAGTTAACATTCCACGAGAAGCTAAATTTAAAATCTGATTTGCATTACTCAAAGTTGCTTATCTTCCTCTAACTAATCCATTTAAGTTTGTAACTTATTCATATGTGTATGTTTATTAAAGATTCATACTCCCAATAAAAGGTAATTCATTAAATTAACCTTATTTTGTTGATTAAAAATTAGAGCCTTCCAAATCTCTTATTAAAAGTCCTACTTTTGCAGAACCATTATTACATTTTAAAAATGAAACTCTCATCATTATTAAATTCATTCTGAGAAAAGGAATAGGTTTAGGTTTTATGTCTTTTAATAAAAATAAACTTAAGTTTTCCATATCTAGTTAGAATGATAATTAAGGTTAATCATTTTAAGTTAGAAGCATTTCTTTTAGCTTTAATTCTTGTTGTTTCTACTATTAAAAGAAAGCCTCAAAATATTGAGAATGACTGTTTCTAATCATATTGTCGAATCCATCATCATATGCAATATTATGAAATAAGCATTTCATTAAAAACATGTAATCTGAATGAGTGATTTGCAAAATCATTGGAGCAATAAAGCAATGAATTTTTAATTGTTCATCAAATTTTATTTTTGGATAAAATAATTAATATTATTAAAACATTCCAAATATTTCAACACTTATATTGAAATCAAAAGGTAAACTAAATTCTCTTTTATTTTCTCTAGATTATTAATATAATTAGATGTCTTTCATATTTAAAATAAATTCATCCACCCAGACTGAATCTAATTGTAATTCTTATTTAATAATTCTATTTGTTACTTTATTACGTTTATTTGACACAATAATTGTCCCAAGATCAATAACCATTGCCGATTCACTTTCTTAATTTGGTTTTAAAATTACCTAAGGATTATTGATTACAACATTTAATTGCATAGCTGGAGGATTTTAGAATTGTTTTGTCAAATATAGAGTTTCAGCTTCTGTTAATAAAATTGTTTAAGATCTATTTTCTTATATTTTTAATTGATGATATTAATTAATATCTTATTCATATTCTTATTCAATTTTTTATTATTTTATGATTGGATTTATGGTTTATTTAGGATTAGATAAGGCAAATAGTAATTATTGCAGAGTGTAATCAAGCAATCTTAAAACTGGTTGCATCATAACATGAATAATTAATTAACTCATATCTACATTAATAATAATATTAACATTATTAACAATCTTTTGAGATCCTTCACTCAATAAATTAAGTTAAACTTTTAATAAAGATTATTGTTGATGTTTAACTCCAATCATTTGTTTAGGATTAATTAATTTATATTCAGATTCCTTTGATAATGTATTTGGATAGTTTGTAAGATCAAAAAGTTATAAATTACCTAAAGATCCATTTAATTAAATTTCATCAACATATTTGATTAATCCAATTTCAGTGTTTTAAATGTTAATTTCTGCTAGTGGCAAAGTAGTAAATCTATGAACCAAAATTGCATTAATACTTCTGATTTTAACATTGATATCTATTAAAATAATATCTTGCATATTATCAAAATTAACATTCTATTATTAAGTATTGTTTTCTAGTTCTATTTTAGCTTGATTCTATAACTACTAGACATTATCTTTTCCTTAACATTTCATATCATCAACTTAATTTTTGGGAGGTGTAATAAAATCAAGCAATTTAGCTATTACTAAGGGTTTTGCAATCATTGATAAAGAACCAAATGTAACTTCAATTATAAAATTTTTTTTATTATATTTTTTATCTGACTTGCTAATTTATTAAATACTAATGTTAATAAGCTCATTTGATTCTGGATCAGGATCAGATTTAACAATATATTTGAGTAATGGATTCATATACATTTGAATATAATCAATAACATATAAATCCCTTAATTTTAAATCTAAATTAATTGATCTACCTTACACATTTGCACCAGCATTTAATCCACTTATAATGACTTTTAACCAATCTTATTATTTTTCATCTTAAATATGAATTCCAAATCCTTTTAAGCCAAATTTGAAATTTAATGGTCTACTTTCTTTAGTTTTTTCACTTTAAATTGTTTCAACATTGTTTTTTTAAACTCTTGGCATAGTTCTTAATTTTTCAATTTCTTCTTTCCAATCATTAGCCATTTTTAATTTATCAAAAGCAACAAATGTATCACCATACTTATTCTTAATTTAGAATGCATTATTCATTCCTGCTTCTTCTTCACTAATATCTATAAATTCACTATTTTTAACCCAGAAATGATATTCTGGTTATTGATCTTAAATTTTAACAAATAAATAAATATAACCACCACTTAAAACTCCTATATATTGACTCCATGTTAATAATTAACCTCTCTTCCAAATTTTACCTACTTTTGTAGCTGATTCATATAATACTGTTTTTTCAGTCTAAGCTTTATCAATTGATAATCTTGTTTATTTTTTTAAAACTTCTTCATATTCCCCAATAGATTCAACAAAACATTCTTCAATTTTTAAGATTTTTGAATAGATATTTGGATTCACAAATATATCTAATTAAGGTAATTCCCCATCAATTATTATTTAAGGTAATTCTTTTGGAGGTTTGGAACATCCTCTCAAAATCTAAGCTCTTATTATAACTCTAATGTTTTAAATTATGCTATAAGATCCATCAATATTTTCTAAGAAAATTCCTTTATTTATAGATTTATGACATTCCTCAATTTAATTATAATGTTTGAATGTAAAATCTTATAATGAAATCTCAAAATTATCATAGTGTAATTCATCTATTTTTGGTGTTATTATTGATACATCACCTATATTAAGTAACCAGTTTTCATTTGAATTTGGAAGTGGTACTAGAATAATTGTTGATTTAATTTTCACATCAATAAATAAAATAGATGGAGATAATTATGATTGTACCATTTATTAAGCTGCCAAATCTTAAGCTATTTCCATCTAATCCCAAGCAGCACTTTTTAAAGTTTCATCTTTAACTTGAAAATCGATAAATTAATTTATTCTAACCAATATAATTGGATTGAATATCAATTTCAATGCTTCTGTTTATAATTTAATATATTTATCAACTCCTTTAAGATGAGATGGATTTGTCTAAAAAACAAAATCTATAAATTTCTGATTATTTATTTATTATAAAAATGCTATTCTCTTTTATTCACTATACATTATAATTCCATTCTAAATTGGTTCAGTAACAATATCAATTCCAATAAACTATAAACCCAACTTCATCATCATTCCACTATCTTTCATTTCAAAACTTCCATCAAATCCGCAATAAATCAATTGAATACCTTCTCTTCTATTATTAAATTTTTTTAGAATATGAACTGATCCAGTTTTTAAAGAAAATAATACAGATAACCAAACATAATCTGCTGGTCTTCTAGTATCTTTAATATCTTGAAAATCTGCCAATTAATCTATAAAGGAACTTAGATCATCCTTCTCTTTTTATTCAAGTAAATCTGAATCTTTTTTCTTACCCCAACTAAACCATCCTCCTTGTTTTTTTTTCTTTTCTTCTGCTTCTTTTATTGCTAATTCCTTTTAAACTACCTTTATTATCTCTTTTGCTGCTTCACATAATACTTCTATATTCAAATTACTAACTGATTATTCAAACAAATCATTTTCATCTTTTGTTAAAGCTTTTATACTTTAATCTGGACTTCTGAGTATTTTCTCATACAAACCTATAAATTATAATTTTTAATCCTCAATTTATTAATTAGATAAACATAATTTTTGTTTCTTCTATTAATTTAATCTATTTTGATATAATGAAAATAATTCAGCCATCCTTATTATTTATTACAATTATAAATTCTCTAAAGCTATATCAATCGCACTCAATTCAACAGATAGACAAAATTCAGGAGAATCAAACTTTCCAGAAGTATTTTAATATAATCTACCTTATGCATTTAACAACAATACGAATTAACCATATTTTGGATGAGATTTAGGATCTGATGTGTTTATTATCATCTCTTCCATCTCTTTTAGAATTACCTCTTTTTCTTGTGAATTCAAAAATATTTTTTCTTATTAATTCCAATACGCTCCTATATTCTCTAAAATTAATAGTTTTTACAAAGCAACTTTTTTCTAATAATTTAATTTAAGATTTATATACGTTTTCTTCTTTGTTTCTATCAAAATATTATTTTTTCCATTCAGAATTACAAGTGAAAGTTTCTATTTTTTTAATTGAAAATCCCCATGCAAATTCATTCTTAATAGTATCTTCAAATCTTATATGGATATTAGAAATGCTCAATTGTAAATTATCTATAATTTTTAATACAAGTTTCTTGACGTATCCATCTTCTTTATCATCTTTTTATTTAGATTTATCATTAATATTTTGAATGATTGATTCTTTAAACTTTTCTAATACCTCCATCTTCTTTTTAAAACCAGTATAATTGATATATTACCATACATCTGGATGATCAGCTGATATTATAATGTACAAATCTGTTAGCATTACTTCAACTGGAGAACTGGTTAACGATTTCCATGGAACCTATTTGTTATTTATATATTTATTTACATTTAGTTTCAATTTTCCTATATGGCTAAAACAAAGTCGAATTGGCAATTCTAACATTTTTATGATTTCAGCTTTTAATGATACATTTGATATGATCACTTCTCCACTCCAAATACCTATATGGAGATTTTATGCATCAAATCCTTCAATAAATTAGCCTAAAACAGAATTCAATACTTTTTCAAGTAATGACTCAAACATAATATTAATATATTATTTTAATGACAAAAATCTTAACTTTTTAATTATTCATTCATAATTATAGAATGTTTAATCTCTTACAAAATAATACTATAATAATAAATAATAAATAATTCGAATGAGACAGACAGAACTTGAACAGATAAAGAAATTTTAATTTTTTAATTAAGAAAATATTCAAGATCAAAGAGCTAAGTATCAAATTATTCATTAATTTTATTATAGTGGAGATCCAACAACCCCAACTTTGAATGATATAGGAATCTCAGATGGATGTGGAATTGCCACTAAATTGTTTCTCTCATCTTAGTCTAAAAATCTTATATATGTATATGAAGCAAATTCCATTCAAGGATTCTTTTAACCTCACAATGATTAATTCAGAGTTATGAAATGTTCAAAGGATAATAAAGATGTAATATAACAACAATAATTCATGTTCTTAGGGAAAATTAGTCACATTTGGTATTGACAGTGAAAATAACTAAAAGAGTAGCTATGTTAAATTTTGGGATCCAAATACAACTGATTATCAGAATATGAGTAATTTAATTTCACTAAACTCATAGAACCTATTAAAGTTATCTTAGTAAATAAAGTTGGATAACCTTTACAAAATTTTAATTGCTTTTGTGTTGCTAAAGATTTAAGTGCATTAGCTTTTGGTTTACAAGATGGCTAAATATTGATATTCAAAGCCAAAAGTTAAAATTTATTGGTGATGGAACATAAAGATTAAATCATTTAAACAGATTAAGAACCAATCAAATCTGTACATCTAAGTAAAAATGATTAAAATCTTAATTTATTTTGTACAACTGATTCTAATATCATTTGCTTTTAGAATATGTAAAATAGAAAGAAGTTTTCTATCCCTGCAGGAGCTTTATTTGATTTAACAGCTAAAGGAAATCTTATAGGATGTCCAAAAGATGATACTTCTACTATAGTAGAATATAGTGATACTAAGAAAGAAGCTACTTGGAATGTA